AAGACCGAAATTTCTGGGACCGTACAGAATAGTGGAAAAGTTGGGGAAGGGTCGTTATAAAGTAGAGAAAGTAGGTGAGAAGGAAGGCCCGATAAATACTTATAGCGTAGCAGAGAATATGAAGAAGTGGGGTCATTCGGGGCGAATGACATGCCAGGAATAGCCGAGTTGTAGGGTTGGCAACTCTGCGTCGTATTAACACGACGCAAAGAGTCAAACTGCATCCTATAATAATGCTATTACTAAAGAAAAATTATTAATTATCAAAGAAAAATAAAAAAAGAGATAATATGCAAAACTTAAAAACCAACAAGAATTGTGCGCTGTATGTTTTATACACAGTTGTAATAAGAATTTGTAATAAGAATTATTACTATTATTACTTTAATTAATTACAATTTAATTAAATAAACAAAATTTAAAATGGCATTGCATACGAATTTATTCATAATTACTAAGTGAAAAAAAAAAATAGAAGTGATGTTTTCTTTATATGGAGTAAAAACCACTTGATCAACAAGCCGGTGAATTAAAAATCAAACAGTTACAAATGGCACCTTGCGAAAAGATTTTTAAATCTGTATCGCTAAATTCCTTTAAAGAAATGGGCAACAAAAAATTAACAAATGTTCAAATAGCGCTATTACCACAGGTGACATAAATAAACGAAAATAATAAGTCGGCAATTGAAGCTATTCTTCACCAATATCATGATGATCCAGCAAAAGGAGGTCATACTGGAATTACCAGAACATTGACTAAAATAAAACAAAGATTCTACTGGAAAAACATGACAAAAACTATTACCAAGTACGTAAAAAAATATCTAAGTTGTCAACTGGCCAAGACAACTAGACATACAAAAATGCATTTAACGGAAGTGCAAACGCCTATGTCTCCATTTGACACTGTGTTAGTAGATACCATTGGTCCACTCCCAAGAACGGAGAACGGCAATCACATTAATATGTGACCTAACAAAATATTTGGTAACTATTCCAGTTCCAAATAAAAGTGCCAAGACTATAGCGAAAGCAATTTTCGAAAATTTTATCTTACAGTACGGACCCATGAAACGGTTTCTAACTGACATGGGTACAGAGTACAAAAATCAAATTATGAACGATTTATGTAAATATCTCAATATCGAGAATATTACATCAACAGCCCACCATCATCAAACGCTAGGTACTGTAGAACGCAGTCACCGCACGTTTAATGAATATATAAGATCTTACATCTCAGTCAATAGAGATGATTGGGATGTTTGGATTAAGTACTTCACGTATTGCTTTAACACAACACCATCGTTAGCACATGGATACTGTCCTTACGAACTCCTGTATGCACGTATCCCAAGGAAATTCAATTATTTCAATAGTGGTAATATAGAACCACTATACAATATAGAAGATTATGCTAAAGAAAGCAAATACAGATTAGAAGTAGCTTATGAAAGAGCAAGAAAAATGCTCGATACATCAAAATTAAAAAATAAACTTAGGTATGATAATAATTTACATAGTTTTCAATTAGTAATAGGAGATAAGGTTTTATTAAAAAACGAAGTAGCTCATAAATTAGAAAATACATATATAGGTCCATATTTAGTTAAAGATATGGAAATAGGTAATAATATAGTTATAGTAGATAGTAAAGGTAAAGCACAAAAAGTGCACAAAAATAGGTTAAAACCATATATTAATTAAAAAAAAAAAAATAATAAAATCCAAATAATATATATATATAGTAATGAATGAATGAATGAATGAATGAATGAATGTAGATATGTATACTATATTTGAAATACTGAAAAATATATTTGTAATTAAATAAAAAAAAAATTTTAATATGCAATATATGCAATATATAAGCAATATATTAATAATATATTAATATATACAATTATTAATAATTACATAAAATTTTGTTTAAAATTTTATTATATTATTTCTTTAAAACAGGAGGTGTAGCGTGCATAAGCATACACTAGGTGAGTAAATAAGTATGCTGATATTTATTGTACCTTTATTGCATTCTTGCAATATGAGCCCCTACCGTCCGTTTGACGATAGTGTTTGGGCTGGCGTGTGAAGACGCCAATTCAGCAAATTCTCACAGTATGCTAATGCACACTGCTCCTCCTGCTCCTGAATTTTGTATAAACATATTTTTAATGAATAAAGTCAGTCTTAAAACAGAACTCGGTTTTTCAATCACTACAGCCCAAAATGAATGTTCTACTAAGCCATCTCCAAATATCGAAAACATAATCCAACTGCTTGTGGAAAATATGACACAATTTATGAACACCATGAAAAATATAAAGCACGGTATGATTCGAAATCAAAATATCTTGCTTTCAATCCTGTCCAAACCATGAATGCAATCAAAATTTGGTTCTGGAATGATAACGGCTTAAGCCAACATAAAAACGAACTTGAATTGTTTTTACAATCACATCAAATTGACGTCATGCTTATCTTACAAACCCATTTTAATGAAGAAAGCTACTTTAAGATACCTGGTTATATATTCTACGATACGAAACACCCCAGTGGACGAGCAAGAGGTGTATCTGCTGTCTTCATAAAAAATAACATTAAACATTTCCCGACTCACAACCTTGAAGCAGAATATATGCAGGCGACAAGCATATGCGCAGAAGAGTACATAAAAAGTCTGACTATAACCTCAATTTATTATTTACCAAGATATAAAATAACGGAACCCCAATTCGAAGAATATTTTACAAAGCTAGGTTCCAAAATTCATAGCGGCCGGCGACTTCAATGACAAACATACATTCTGTGGTTGAACAGTTATAACACCAAAAGGAAAATCCCTGATGAACGTGATATCAAAACTTGACCTTGACATAACCTCCACTGACACACCTAGCTACTGGGCCTCAGATCGGAAAAAAACTCCAGACGTCATTAATTATACGGCTTGCAAAAAATTGCCAATTGAAGTAGGATCATTGTGTAGAAATGTGTATTCATAATTTTTATGGAGTCCTTCAGAGTTCAAGAATTCAAAGAATTTTAAGAATATTATAATATAAAAAACCACAAAATGTTAGAACTAGCTTTAACAAGATGGCTATCATTAGAACAGGTTATTTTGCGAATTATTGAATAATGGGATGCGCTCCAGCTTTACATTTTATCGCAGTATATTGAAATCAATGATATAAAACTTGTTAAGCCTACTTTGCGGCATTTTATTTTTTGGATATTGTTTGAGATTTGGCACAGCAACCAGGCGATATGGCATCACCCATTTAGTAGTTTTTGACAGCTGCAGTTTGACGTCTGGCAAACAATAATTTTTGGCTTCGTTTTTGCCCTTCTCTTTTCCGGTTCCGCTTTTTACTTCTGGTTGGGGATGTGCGTACCTTATCTATCGTGGCGTGGCTGATTTATACAAAGTGTTGTATTTTAAAAATTGTGATCAAATAAAGAAATATTATATTTGCGTGTATGAAATTATTGTCTTTCACTTTTTTCATACATTTGTTGGTGCCGAAACCCGGGAGTTTCGGTTTTTAATTAAAAATTAAATTGCGTTTTTGGCTTTATACGAAGAAAATATGGCTGCCTTAAATAGGCGTACGGCTGCGTGATCATCATTAAAGCAGGTAGCTGCAAAAATATTGGCGGATGACTACGTTGAGGATGGCTTTGGCATGCAACAATATCGTGGTACATCTCAGGCTGATCATAAAAGGCCAGGCTCACGTCTAATGAGGACAAACCTAATAGCAACTACTCCAGGCCACTGCCAGTTTTGCAATGACGCAGCGCACCAAATAGGCAACTGCATCAGGCTATTGGCTTGCTCCCCAGCGGAGCGCTTCACATTGCTAAAAGGCTCGAATCTTTGCTTCAATTGCTTGAAACCTGGACATTCCACTAAGGCATGTGGCTCAACTAATTGTCGCATATGCAATGGCAGGCATCACACTCTACTATGCCGAAGTTCACCAGCGCAAACTCCTCCTTTGCAGGAGTCCAAACAGCAGGCACAAACTACACCTCAGGCACCAGCGAAACCGAACCAGGCTGGCATCCCACCACGTGTGCATCAGTGACTACACCATCCAATGCAGATATTCGCTACTATAGGCAATCTGGTTACACTCTTGGCAACAGCACAAATACGCATCTTAAATGACTTTGGCGATATCGACTCGTGTCGAGCTCTATCCAGGCTCTCAGGTAAGTGCATTATAAATACAAGGCGTTGACAGTGGCAATCGCTCATATACTAATGGCCGGGCAGTCTTGCGCATGACTGTCAATGCTTCATTTGGCGTGGATGTTGAATTCTATATCATCAACAAAATTACCTCAGCAATCCCCGTGGCTCCAATCATGGAAAACTGTTGGCAGCATTTACGCAATTTGCCTTTGGCAGACCCGAAATTTGGCGAAACTGGTGTTATAGATGCATTGCTTGGCTCAGACGTATGGGGCCAATTGTTGGCAGATGGCATAGTTCGTGGCGAACTTGATGATCCTGTGGCACAAAATATGCAATTAGGCGGGGTTGTATTCGGACCAGCCGAACTAACCGTGCATAACTACAAGGCGGAACAATCTATGGCATTGCGTGTGGAGACGCATGATGAGCGAGTTGATGACCTTCTACACAGGCTATTTGAATTCAAAGATATTGACATGGCTAAGGGCGATAAACTAGCAGCATCATTGCGATCATTGCGAGTGCATTTTCATGAGAACACATAAGCGTTTTGATGATGGAGTTATTGTGTACAAATACTATTTACACCAGATGCTCCACCACTTGGCAATTCACATCAGATGCCACTCAGGTAATTTCACCAGTTGAAACGAAAATTGGCATCCAATTCAGTGCTCAGGCAAAGATATGTGGCTTTTATACGCGAATACGAACAACTTGGTCACATGCTCCCTATTCAGCATCATTCAGGCGACCCATCTCACGCATAATACATTCCACATCATGCAGTCATGGCAAAATTCCGAGTCGTATTCAATGCTTCCGCAAAAACATCGAATGGCATATCATTAAATGATACACAACTCGCTGGCCCCCCAATACAGGATTTATTACTTAACCTTTTGCTTCGCTTCAGGCAGCATCGAATAGCATTCACAGCTGATGTGGAGAAAATGTTCAGGCAAGTCAAGGTTGACAACAGGCAGTGGCAACAGATACTCTGGCGGGAATCATCCGATCAGCCCATTCGCACATATCAATTGGCTATCGTTACATATGGCACAACTAGTGGCACATATTTGGCTGTTTGCGCTATGCAGCAATGTGGCAGAGACAATTCTTATAAACTCTCAGATGAATTACGAGCTAAAACTGCTTTGCACAGCATCCTGAATGATTTCTACGTAGACGACTACCTTAAGAGTACACCTTCTATTGGCATGGCGATTCAACTGGCGGCCGATGTCTCATCTGTTTTGGCAGACGATCAGTTCCATCTCAGGAAATGGAAATCGAATAGCGCTGAAGTCTTGGCACATCTTCTTGGCGATGCTGATCCATGTCAGCTTAATCCGCACTTGGCAGAAACTACTGTTCTTGGCTTACACTGGGATCCACTCACTGATGAGCTCTTCTATCAGGTCAGCTCTTATGATGCACAACATCTTACGAAAAGGCAAGTGCTTAGCGATGCCGAAAAATTATATGATCCAATTGGCATGTTGGCACCAGTCATCATTACGGCTAAACTTTTCATACAGAAACTCTGGCAGGCAAAATTGGCATGGGACGACCCATTACCACTTGAACTGTTGCAAGAATGGCTCATATACCGAAGGCAGCTGTCCTAACTGGAGGCAGTGCGAATACCGCGTTGGATAGGCATGCAACCCGGATATCAAATACATTTTCACGGCTTCTGCGATGCTAGTGTCAAGGCAATGGCTGCAGCACTCTATTTGGCAACAAACCACAATGGCAATATCACTAGTCACATTATCGCATCAAAAACTAAAGTGGCACCATTACATTCGGTAACAGTACCCCGATTGGAACTTTGTGCTGCGCAATTGTTGGCTACTCTTTTACACGAAACAAGGCAGGCTTTGCATTTGGAGCACGTACCATACACTCTTTATTCCGCAGGTAATAGGTCAACCCGCATTACAGACACACTACACTTCTGGCGATGAATTGGTCGTCATAGATCTGTTGGACCGGTTCAGTCATCTTGGCAAGCTATTGCGCACTACTGCATACATATTGCGTTGCAAAAAGGCACATCAGCGTTTTCGTTCACATACACACATCTGTACAGGCGAAATGGACATTGCTTTAAATCACCACATCAAGGCAGAGCAAGCGAAATATTTCGCAGCGGAAGTCAAGCAGCTGAAAAAGGCGCAGCCCATATCCACATCCAGCAAGCTCATTGCACTGAGTCCGTTCATCAGCTCCACAGCGGACAATATATTGCGAGTAGGCGGACGCCTACATAATGCGAGGGTGACAGAGCCACAACGTCATCCAATCATTCTTCCTAAGGATAGCACATTGGCCAGGCTTTTAATATGGCAGGTGCATCAGGACACACTTCATGACGGTATACAAATTATGCTTCATACTATTCGACACAAATATTGGATTCTACAGGCACGCATTTTAGTCAAGCAATGCATACACTCATGCGCGATTTGCAGGCGGCATAAACACATAATGCTAAAACAGCGTATGGCGACATTACCAAAGGCTCGGGTCATCCCATCTCCACCATTTGCAAGATCTGGCTTAGACTATTGCGGTCCATTCAACATACGAATTGGCTCCATGGCTAAACGAAACGTGCGGAAGGCTTACGTGGCAATCTTTGTGTGCATGGTAACCAAGGCAGTGCACATCGAACTGGCTGAAAACCTCACTTCTGAGGCATTCATAAATGCATACACCCGTTTCGTAAATCGGCGTGGTCCATGTAACCATTTATACAGTGACAATGGCACTACATTCATTGGCGCAGATCGCTTAATGGCTGCTGACTTACAGGCTTGGCATAATGAATATTCTCAACAGCAATTGGCAAATTGAGGCACAAAATGGCATTTTCTACCACCTGGTGCACCTCACCAAGGCGGTCTATGGGAAGCTGCCGTTAATTCAGCAAAGAAGCACTTACTACGCATTGTTGGCACCCATTCCATTTACTATGATCAGCTACATACTCTACTTGTACATATCGAGGCTTGCTTGAATTCACGTCCACTTATACCATTGCATGACACAAGATGGCTCTATCACCTTCAGATTTCCTAATTGGCAGATCTCTATTGGCAGTGCCAGATGAACCTATTGGCAAGGTACCTAGCAACAAATTATCATACTGGCGACAATTAAGGCAAATGCAACAGCATTTTTGGCGACAATGGCATGATGAATATCTTTCAACTTTGCAACCACGTTCCAAATGCCATCAGAATGATGATAACATCAACATAGGCGATGGCGTGGTTATCCGGCACATTGGCGGCTTGGCAGGGTGATTAAACTTCACCCAGGCGAAGATGGTTTGGTACGAGTAGTCACGATCAAGCATTCAGCTGGCGAATGCATGCGACCTATCCAAAAGATATGCAGGCTTGTGGAGCATCCTGAACGTACCCGTCCAGCCGGGCAGGATGTTTGAGATTTGGCACAGCAACCAGGCGATATGGCATCACCCATTTAGTAGTTTTTGACAGCTGCAGTTTGACGTCTGGCAAACAATAATTTTTGGCTTCGTTTTTGCCCTTCTCTTTTCCGGTTCCGTTTTTTACTTCTGGTTGTATTTTAAAAATTGTAATCAAATAAAGAAATATTATATTTGCGTGTATGAAATTATTGTCTTTCACTTTTTTCATACAGATATTAACAAATGTTCTAAGAACATAAGAACATGTTTTTATTTTTGTTGCTATAATCATATTTTTTTGATCTTAATAAAGTCTTCTATCACAATGGGCCTATAGGCCTAAGTGGATCCCACTGGGTTCGCCGGTACAACCTAATAAAGTCTTCTTATGTGCACATTAGCTGCGTTTCAGCAAACATGATCCGCTCAATGATCTGGATCATCTTTGCTGAAACGATACGGATCACGTTTGAAAATAATCGGCAACGCTTGAAATATGCCAGTTGGGTTTGTGTACTAAATTTTTTGATTTATGTGAATAATTTTGGCGCTAAAAAAATAAGTGAGAAAATTTTGAATACAAAAAATCTAAAAAATGGAAAATAAATAAAATCTGTTGAAATGTCTGAAGTATGAAATGTAAGTTTTATTTAGTTATTTAGTTTTTATTTATTTACTTAAAAACTTAAAAATTCTATAGTAAATAAATGAAAATTGCAGATTTTACTAGAATTATCGAGCAAAACTGACTCCTCCATAAACACTAGTCCAAGTGTATTAAGCTCAAGGGATGAAGTGCATCAGCATGGATATAGTGGAAATTTTATGGAAACGATCAATAATTGTTCCGTTAAAGATTATTTGATTGGTATTTGCGCATAAAAAATACAATTGCTATATATTAATTATGTTTCATATTTTAATAGATTTGTTAATAAACTCCAATCAGCAAATACAAAATAACCGTGGTGTCCACAATTGAACGAGAGCAATAAAGAAAATTTACATATTTTTGTGGTATATGGCAAATATACCATAAATACTTTTCGCGAATTTGGTATTTGTTTTGGCATACCAAAAGCTTCTGTATGGAGAATAATTGCAAGAACTAGTGTTTAGCTTATATCAATTGCAAAATTTCCGTTCGTGATTGACAGCACACATGTTACAATAAATGTACCTCACCATAGCAATTAGGCTTATTTCAAAAGGAAGCTGGATATAGCTTAAACTTGCAAGCAGTTTGCAATGGTTTTTTTATAAACGTGTATGTTGGAGAGCCTGTTTCCTTACGTATTGTTCTGTTTTAATTAAATAAATGTATTCAACTTAATGTTTATATATTCATTTCAAATTAATTGATTTTCATAAATTATCAGACAACACTTTTTTAATAATAATGAAACGTAAATAATTAAAGTAATAATTTTAATTAATTTTAATAATTTTTATTTATAGTAATAGTAATAATTAAAACATTACTTCAAACAAAGAAATAAATAATAATAACATATTAAATAAATAAGTACATAAAATAAATAATAAATAAATAAAATCAATAATAAATAAATATAAATGTAGATTTGTTTATAATTTTACTACACCGTTGCATCGCATTGCCAACCTCATTTGCATTAAAATACGTTCCACTTTTATCTTTTACAACATCCACATTGAACCAGAAAGTGAACCAGATCAATTGCTGGTTCACCCCATTGTTTTTGTTTTGCCTGTAAAATTGAGCGGATCATGTTTGCTGAAACGCAGCTATTGAACAAAAGCGCGTGCAAATTGTATTTTACTTTTTTTAACCCATTCGAGCCGTGAGTAAAATTAAAAAGACGGAAAAATGCAAACGACGCACTATATTCAAATTTATCCATAAATAGGAATTATCGATCCCCTCTTTTTTACAAAAGCCTAGCAAATCTTATGGCAATACCAGAAACAAAAGCTTACATGTTTTTTTTTAACTTATATTTTGAAAACTTCGAATGACTTAAATATTAAGTTCCAATCCGAAAGCATTCAACTACCTTTATTATATAGGAAAGTAGAAGTAGTTGTTAAGTTAATATTACCCAACTTTATGTGCTATCACGTTAAAAATGTGGTATTAGAATCCTTAGAATTCAAAGAATCTAAACATTTCTTGCCCTTTGAAAAAGTTTTTATAGGAGTTAAACAGACTTTTACAAATAATCAGAATTTAGAAAATTCTAAAATATGTGAAATAAAAAAAAATATATGTTGTTTTTATATTGAACTAGTTTCACAAACTTTTTACCGTTTTTTCAAGAAATGATATAAAATGTCTTGAGATTATAACGCTTTATAAAATGCTTTCTGATAATGAAATTTCAATTGTACCATTACTAATTTTAGTAATTTATTAGATTGAGACCCGGATGAAATTGTATCGCAGTGGACGTTGTTAAGATTATCAAAAAAAAAATATTAAACATTTTCATGATATCAATTTATTTTGGAAGCTAAATAATAAAATAAATGATGGTTTAAGCGATCCAACATTTAAGGATTTAAATTTATTTATAAATAATTAATTGTTTTGTCGCATTGCTCTGCAGTAAAAAAAAACATTTTTAGAATTAAGTCTAATTAAAAATAAATTATAGTTTAAAAACTTAAATAATATTATGTTATGTAAAGAATTATTTGACAACAAAGATATACACTGTTGATAATTCAACATACTACTTATAATAGTAGCATTAGCTTTATTTTTACTTCATTTTAAATTTGTTGTATTACATAAAAATTATTAACAATTATATTATATATATAAAGCTTACAGCTTACAAGCTTGTAAGCTTGTAAGTTAAAATGAAATAAATAAAAACTAGTCTTAATCGAAACTTAAATGTGAACATTACATTGGCCACGAGAAATTAAGTTGTGGTTTAAATATATTTAAAAATTATTTAAACTGAAATAAAATTAATATCAAAAAAAAATTTAAATTATCATATAAAAATTGTATGAAAATCAATTTAACTCGTGCAAATTAAATTACACAAAAGTTATTACAAAAAAAATTTTTCGAAAATATGGCACAAAATGAAAGTGCAAAACAATGAAAACAAGTACGACCACGTCAGGTGTGCGGGAGTTCAGACCCCAGGTGGACAGTTGGTGCGACCAGGTGGAGATCCTAGACTCCCATTATATTGAAATGGCTTGGCAGGACGATATGATCAAGCGGTCGATCCTGTTAAAAAACATTGGAATGGAGACTTATGGACTGCTGCGGGACATTTGTGATCCGGAGCTGCCTGCAACCAAATTGCCTGCAATCAATTGTGTAAATTTTTGGGAAGTACAAATACCCAGAAAAAGAAGTTAGTGTAAATATTAAAATTCAATTTGTTTATTTATACAATTTGTAAAAATAATTTATGCAGTTTTGAGAAAATTTTCGAGTTAGTCGTTTATCTGCAGAAAAAATAATTGATCAGTTTGGAAAATCTTCACATTATAAACATAAAATACATGCTGGCGGAAAGATTGGAAGTAGTTCTGAAACGCAATGTCTTATATTTTTGTGGTGCTTATTACATATTTCTGAATATGTATTAATAACTCTTACATACAACTCAACTTGCAGGTTTGTAAGCAACAAAACCACTTACAGAGAAGTAGCCAATTTATTCCACGTAGCATCTTCAAGTGTACATAAATATATATTTTGCGTATCGAATTTTTTATTTGATATATCAGCCAAAGCTACAAGAATGCCATGCGGTGATAAAAAAGATAGCAACGCTTAATTATTTTTTTTAATAAGATCTTCCAATACATTAGCAAGTTCATATACTACAAATATTTTATAGCTTGCAGGATTTCAAAACGTATCATGGCACATAAATTTATGTTAGAAAACCAGCCAATAAAATACGCTCTACATACATAAATAGACACGGATTATTGTCTATAACATTACAAACTATTTGTGATGCTAACTAAAGATTTTTAGATGTATTCGTTGGATCACCTAGTAAAATTCATGATACTCGAATATACAAATTGTAACCGATATCCGAGGAGCTTCCTTCTGTGTGTGTTGACAAATTTCACATATTGGGCGATTCAGCATATCCTTTGAGAGAATATTTGTTAACTCCGTATAAGGATTATGGAGACCTACCCAAACAACAAAAAACACTCAATAAAAAACATAGTCAAACTCGTGTTAGTATTGAAAATTCTTTCGCATTGTTGAAGCAACGATGGCGACAGTTAAGTCATTTGGATTTTTTTTCTGTGGAAAGAATGTGTAAGTTTGTGCTTGGCTGCTGCGTACTTCATAATCTTTGCATTGAGGAAAACGATGATTGGATAGAAAATGTTGTTTGTGCAGAGGTAGTTAGCAGGGAACTTCGTGACAAAGTCTCAAGTGAGC